CAGCACGGGGGGAGAATTTTAGGTACTGTGGGGCCGCTACGCGTACAGCGGTTCGACTTAGAGAATGCCATGGACTGGCCGAGTTACCCTGCAGATCTGAGCGGTCAGCTGAAGCAGGAGTTTGGATGTCCGATTCATTTATGGCATACATTGGATGATTTTGAATCAGCTAAGGCTTTGCTGCATAGGGTTGAGCCAGCTCTTGAAGGAGAGCTTCTGACGAGGCTGGCACGGACATTGGAGGAATGGCGGGCCCGCATGGAGCCCATTGTCAGGAATCAGAGAAGGGTTGCGATCAAGATGCTTCATGGAACACTTGATAATGTGGTGGCTTCGTCAGAGGAGCTGCAAGCAGCTTATAAGAACGTAACTGCAGATCAGCCGCTTACGTTGCTTCCTTCGATCTTGAGGAGGGAGAAGACTGCGAGAAATTTCGTAGACAGCGCCGAAAGGGCCAACCGCGAAAAGCGGGAGAGAGAGAAGTATGCTGTGCTCCTTAGCGATCTTATCCGAGAAGCGGGGCTGCCGGTTGTTTCTGAAGTACGCAGCTTGAGTGATCCCGAAGCTGCATACAAACGGTTGTTTGGTGCGAGGCGCAGCAAGACATTGAGGAATCGGTATCGTTCTTGGAAGCGTTTCTCGCAGTGGCTAGCTGTCACAAAGGGAAGATCTTGGCCCAGTGGGGCTGCTGATTTGATTGACTATGCGGAAGAGTTGTATCAGGATGGATGCGGGAAGACAACACTTGATTCACTGCAAGCTGCGCTGGCTGTTTTGGAGACGGCCGGTAAAGTCGAGGAGACTAAAAGGTTATCCACGGACGTACTCTGGACATCAGCCCTGAAGAGTATAAACTCTGACTTGTCCGGCGCGAGGCCGGCTAGGAAGAGTGCAGAGCTGCCTACGGTTGCTACTGTCGTGGCATTGGAGCTGCTCGTTGGAAGCCGTGACGTCCCGACATACAAGCGGGCGGTTGCTTGGGTTTTCCTTGTTATGATTTGGGCTTCACTTCGGGCGGACGACGTACAAGGCATTTTGCCTCACACTATGGTTTTCAATGGGATTGGACTCAGTGCTGTGTTGGGGAAGACGAAGACTACTGGGCCAGACAGGAAGACCAAAGAAGTGAAAATCTTCGTTGCAAGGGAAGTTAGCTTGACTGGAGTTGACTGGCTCAAGTTGGGCTACGAGATCTGGAAGGGCTATGACAAGCCCCGTGACTTCTTGGTTCTTGAAGCTTCTTCTGATTGGACCGAGCCCACTGGTCGCGGGGTGGAGCCAAGCACTTTGACATTGTATCTCAGACAGATATTTCGAGATCTGAGGGCACCGCGCTTCACCAGCAGCGGTTGGAGGTCAGATCCCAGGGGCCTGCTTTACCCTAAGGGTCTTGAAGGGAGTTTGACTGGACACGCTTTCAGAGATTGGCTGCCTTCTTTAGCTGCGGCCTTGGGGGTGCCGAAGCCCGACCGAGATTTTCTAGGGCGATGGGCCATCAATAATTCTGGTGGTTCGGCAGACTATGTCAGGATGTCCAGAGATGTGGTTCAGCGGGTGCAAGGGCTGGTGGCGTCCAGCCTTGTCACGGGCGAGCCGAGGCCGTACCTAGAGCATGAGGCTTTGGAGCGAGTTTCGCAGCTTATGAACCTGATTGATGGTAAAGGATCACATGTTCGCAATTTGCATGATGTTTTGCGCAAGTCCAGTGGGCCGCCAAGGTTGGGTGGTAAGTGGCCCACGTTTATCCCTCAGGTTGACGAGGACGAGCGAGAAGGTCCACATGATCCGGTGGCCCAGGGCCGTCATGAGGGAGATGAGACTTCCAAGTATTTCATTACTGTCTCGAGGAACAGTGGATTCAGAAGGTTGCATTTGAATGGCTTTTGCTACGTTAAGGCGTACAGGTGTAGCAATGTCGTCTACACAAACCACTTGAGCTCCGATCAGATTGATTCGATTTGCAGAGATTGCAAGCATCGCATGCGGCAGCAAGCTGGCGAGGATGAAGCATTGGATAGCTCCAGCTCTAGTGGAACCTCTAGCGAGCCCGAGGAGTGACGAGCATTGCCTTGCAAAACATCCGGTCAGGAATGCGCCGAGCTGCATTTGTTGTCACTTAGATTCGCAGGATATTCTCTGAGTTGCATTCATGTACATGTTCTGCACTTGATTGAGTGAGTGAGATGTTTTCGCGATTTGATTGGTCAAGGTCGGAGGGCATGTCATGCTTATGACATTTTGATATGTTCATCATGGCTGATTGTTTTCCTTGGACAGGATCGACAGTCAAGCACTGAGAATTTCATGTTAAGTCTGTTGGCCCTCTGTAGTCAGCGCCGTTGGATGGACTCTCAGCGAGCATAGCTCTGTCCGTTATTGGCCGCAAGGGCCCGGGTTGTCACACCCCCTTCAGTTCTCAGATCTCAGCTTGAGCTTGACAAAATTGTCTTAGCGCTTCAAGTGTTCAGATGGCTGTGTCAGATGAAGACAAGAGGGCCGCCGTGGCCCTTGCCAACTCAGATTTGCAGTACGTGCTTCAGGAAGCTGGGGCGGACTTGAGCACCCAGTATGCCGTGTGCTCCCTGCACACAACGATCAGACGTTTTCAGGCAATCGCCGACACTAGGTCAGAGGCGAGGCAGGCCGCAGCGCGGGACTTCGGCTGCTCTTCGGACACAGCTGCAGGTCGGCAGCAGCAGGCAGCGGTGGTGGCAGCATGGGAGCTTGCCAAAGAGGTTTCGGCTAAGGAGGTGGAGCTTCGCGCTGAGTCCAAAGTCCTTGGACAGCCCAGGGTGCTTCAGGTTCAGGAACGCCAGGCCATGTTAGCAGCTGTCACAGCGGTTCACGGTCGCTTGAATGAGGGCGAGACGCCTTCAGCAGAGTACCTTGCTCTCAAGGCCGAGGAGTGCGAGATTAATGAGCCG